CGATCAGGAGCAGCGTCTCGTCGAAGCGCTCCACCGTGCCGACCACGTCGTACCGCAGCAGCGAGTCGCGCACGCGCTCGTACGCCGCCCGGTCCACCTCGCGAAAGCGCACATTCCGCTCGCTCGAGCCCGGAAGCATGTGCTCCGCATGGTCGCTGAACCACGGCTTATACAGCACGGCCGTCTGCAAGTTGGGCGGCAGCCAGTCGGCGAGCGTACGGCCGAACTTGCGCGGCTGGGCCGCCTGCTTCGAGGCGATGGACCAGCGGTGAAAGGAGAGGTAGTAGGAGAGCGGCGACCGCAGCCGCGTCACGAGCACCACGCGGCAGCGCGCGGCCACCGCCGCCGACGCGGCGAGCCCACCGTCCCCGCCCGCGCCGACGGGTGCGGGCGCGGGTGGCGGCGACAGCTCCTCTCTCAGCGCGGCGAGCTCGCTCACGTTGAAGCCGCCGGCAGGGTAGTGAAACTCGGCACAAAGGCGAAGCGCCGTCTCGGGCGCGCCGCCCCCGCTCCCCTGCTCCCGCAGGTAGTCGACCAGTGCGCTGCGTACGACGGACCACTGGTACGCGTAGGCGGCGTACCCCCAGTAGACGCACGCGCCGCGCGCCTCGTTGGCGAGGAACAGCTCGCGCATCGTCGAGCCGCCGTTCTTGTGCACGTGCCGGTCGAGCAGCGCCGTGCACTGTCCGCCTCCGCCGCCTCCGCCTCCGACCGCGCCCAACGGTGGGGGCGCCGAAGCGCTTGGTGGCAGTGCGAGCGCCGCTGCCTCGACGTCGTCGCTGGCACACTGTGGCTCAGGTGCCGTCAGGTGCCACTTGACTCCCTCCCTCACAGCGACGAGCCGCGGCTGATCCTCGCGGCCGGAGCATGGCTGAGGGGCGAGGGGCACGTCATCGCCCCTCTTGAGGAAGCACGAGGGCTCACGGAAGACGGCGTGGCTACAGGACGGCCCGGCTTCCGCGCAGAGGCGGGAGCACTCCACCAGGTCGCGCGCAGGGTGCTGCTTGCACCATGCGCTCTTTGACTTTTTGCACCAACGGCACTTTCGCGCAAAGACACGGATATCGATGCACTCGGTCGCGTTGGCAAGCACGTATGGGACCCAAACAAAGCCGTGTGAGCCGAGCGGTGGTGGCGGTGGTGACGGGCCAGTCGGAACGGGAGGCGGAGAGTCGTGCCGGGGTGATGGTGGTGGCGGCGGCGGCGGCGGTGGCGGCGGCGGCGGCGATTGTCGCGGGAGTGTCGTCCTTGCGCGAGAACGGCTGGGTGAGGAGTGGGGCTGGAATGAAGGCGGGAGCGGGATGGAGCGCTGATGCTGCGTCATTCGCCACAGCTCATTGAACCAGACAAAGAAGAGAATGCCAAACGTCGCCAGCGCCATCACTGGCGGCCTCGCCGCTCTGCCCGGCCGCACGGCGGGCTCGGACGGCACGAAGGCCGCCGGCTCTCGCGGGACGGAGCGCTGGAACATGATCGTGCGACCGGGCAGAGCGCCGCAACCGCGGGCTGCCGGCCGCTGGCCGAAGAAGCTCGCGGCGGGCGCGCGGAACTTGAGGAGAGACTTGTTCCGCTTCGTTTCGGCCACGTGGCCGGGGTCGTGGGGGTGGACAACCCCTCGCTTCGCGCTCGGTCAGGGGTAGTAAAGGGCACGCGGCTACTGCTTGCCAGCGGCACAGAAAAAACAAGAGAACAACCGTTCACTTGAACAGCCGTTCTCCGATCTCGAGATCGCCGCGCTGCTCCCCCTACATCTACTTAGCTCCGTCCGCTGTTCGTTCGGTCCCCGGCGGCGGCCCCCGCCCGCGCCGGTGCACGCGCGCCGGATGCCCTCTCGGAGCCGTGACACGGGGCAGACGAAATCCCACACTGGTGGATTTGGGGGCGATGCGGACCCCCTAATGCCAAAGGGGGGGGGTAGTCCGATGTCCGTGTATAGACCGTAGTCGGCTAGAGCTAACACCCTCCCGCACACTTGTGGGTCTTGCAAACCAGATTTTTTAAATGCCAAAAGAAAAGGGTAAGGGACCCCGCGGGACTGCAACACCCAACAGCAACGTGCAAGCAACACGGCGCAAACGTGGTCGGTGGTTTCCTCGTGCTCGTCTCAAACTCAATCAAATAAATATACACAACTCACCTAACCCCTATTTCGGTCTCACACCGCGCTAAAGCCGCCGTCTGCGAAGACGTGCGATCCGGTGACGAAGCTGGAGTCGTCCGAGAGGAGGAAGAGGGCGACCTGAAAAGCGACAGGGAGGGGGCGGCTCGCACGGCAAATCGCTGCTACACAGCTCTATCGGCTGAGGGCAGGGCCGGCAGGGTGGGGACTCGCCTTGGCGATGTCGTCGGGCTGCCCGAGCCGGCCCTGCGCCTCAGCGATGTCCTGCGAGGCGGGGACGAGTGGCGCGAGGGTGCGCATGGCTCGCCTTGCCAGCGGCGGGGCGAGCCTCTCCCTCTCGGGATGGGGCCGCG